CAGTCCAGTGATCTGCCCTTTTGGAGTAAGGTAGACAGACTACTAAAATGTTCGGCCTGAGCTGTAGAGGAATAATACATAACAGCACAGATATAAAGGGAATTTACAGTCATAATCATTAGTCATATAAATTGCAATGTATTTTGCCCTTTTCCCATCTCCCCAGTAATTGAGCTATATTGAGTTTACAAATGGTAGTTAAGTAATAAAATTACTTGATTAATAAATTGAAAGATGTCATTTGTAATCATATTATGGCTCCTTCTCTACACAGAAAATTGAATATCAATAAAATGGGCCAATATAATAGTTATAAAACAATATGGGCATAATCCTTAAGCAACTGAAGTGAACCCCAAACTCCATTTGTGCTTCAGCTGCTGAATTAAATGCTATATGAAACAAACTGCAAGGATGAAGCTTAGTACTGTCTTACATTTAAAAAAAAAAAAGCTTCTCTCTGCAGTGTCCTCAAATGTATAAAATTAAATCACAAAATAGTTCTGAACAGGAAGTAATCATTTTCTAATGTATACAACAGGTGCTGATGAGACATAGAGTTGTTTACAACTCCTCCACCCAACACAGAAGCTTTAGTAGTGAAGTTATGTGTCAAGATTGTAAAAACTTATTTGTGATCAGCATGGATAAAAAATTGATTTTTTTCCATTAAAAAGATCAGATTTTTGTTTAATTTTTTAAAAAAATAACCCTTTTTCAAATTAAACTTAGCACAGGTAATCATAATTCAGTAGTCATCTATTAAATTAAATAAAGCAAATACTTGAACTGATGGAAGTAACTGGCTAAGCACTTGGAATCAGAATTTGTTGATATTCAGAATCAGTTTTTATAGCAGTAGCCTCTTTTGCAAGTACTGAGAGAATATTTTCTTTGTTTACATTTGTTCAACTAATTTTGTTCAAGAATTAGTCCACTCAAAGTTAAGAAACAAATGGAGAGCCAAAAAAGCAGGAAAACTTGTCTGCCTCTTCTAATCTATGAACTGTGTGAAACGATGAGCTCTACTTGTTCTAAAACCTTGAAAGGATATGGTGATAAGAAATAATCAGCTCAATTAACCAATTGCAGATAATATTTACTTCTGTTTAATAAATCAGCTAGCTTTACACGTACTTTTTTCCTTCTGTATCTGGAACATTTAAGGGTTTTTAAAAATTGTATTTGTTCAATAGGAAAAGAACAGAACTATTCATGCATTTTAATTGAGTTCTGATTTCCATCCAGATAAAGCTTGACACAAATAATGAATAAAAATTAATCATCAAGTAAAGAAGAAATGCATCATTTGCCATTATGTAACAATAAAAATAAAGAGTCTAAATAAGTGTGTTAAATTCTATATTTTCATAAATAAAAATGTACAGATATAATTGGCTCCTTATTAGCAAAAAGAGGCACCATATGTAAGAGATATATGAAATTCAGTTGCAAATCAAGATATTTAACCAGACAGTAAAAAAACCTATCTTTCTTTAGAAAAATAATTGCAAAGTATACATGCAAAGCATGATTCCTGCTTTCTGATTTTAATCTTTGTTACTTACATTTCTCAGATTAGATTAATCCATTCCACTCATAAATTTGGGTGTCCAGTTCCCACCTTTCAAAGAGTGGATGGTCAGCCACTTCAGAAAATCAGGTTGCTTGAATTAGTATTGGGCTAGGTACACAATCATTAAATCAGTTCTGAAAATTTTGGCTATAATGTACACAGAAAAGTTATAGGCTTTAGACTATCCATATGACTATCCATATGACCAGTTTGGTGCCATGGCTGGGTGGGGGGAGGAGCCCCCACCTCTGGCTCCAACACAGAGCTGCCACAACTAGGGGTGAAGAAAGACCCCCCACTGGCCTGGAATGGAGCTGCTGCAGCAGTTCTGTGGTTGGACTAGCAGGCAGAGGTGGCACCTGCCTTGAGCCTCTGTCCTCCATGAGCCCTTTTTTAACATTCACTCAGGTATGTCAGTTTTGAGGATTTGGTGATTGTGTGTCTGTTCTCTGTTTGGTTTTATTAGAAGCAATCCATTGCAATTCCAGCAGGCACCAGCCACCCCTGTTGGCCCAATGAGGTGATAGCTGTACCATTCCCCATCTCTGCCACCTTGCTGCCGTCTGTGGTCATTATGCAATATAACTGTCCCTTCCAGCAACCACCTCCCTTTCCTTCCCCTGCACTCCCAGCTCATAGTGAGGAATGCAGCAAACTGTTCACTTGCTGCTTGATGAAGGGAAGGACAATTTTTTTCAAATAAGTCAGGGAGAGGAGCTTCAGCCCACCTCACCCTCCCGAAAGGGTGCCTGGGGAGTGGAAGCGGGAGGGGAAGCGCACCTCCAGCCAGTCCCTTTCACCTGCCTGGTGATTCTGTCTCTTTTCTCTATCGTTTTATGAGAAGCAATCCCATTCCAGGCACATCTTGTTTTCCTGGCACAACCAAACCCCAAGCTCGATTTATGTTATGATAAGCGGAAGCTATATACCAAATTTGGTGGTCCTAGCTCTTACTGTTTAGGAGGAGTTCTTGAACAGACCGAAAAACATACAAACAAACAGCTAAATCTCTCTCAAATATATAGACGATAACAAAACTAGAGAGACCCCAAATATGGCAGATTTCTACCTGGGGGCTTGAACTATAAAAATGCATCCGTTATTCATAATTGGGCCATTTGGAGGCAACAGAAGGGGAAGTATATGTTTACATGAGAATGACCAGACTGGGTCAGACCAATGCTCCATCTGGCCCACTATCCTGTCTTCTGACAGTGGCCAATGCCAGATGTTTTAGAGAGAACAAACAGAACAAGGTAATTATTGAGTGATCTATCCATATTATTGAGCGCCTACTTGTTTCTGTAAAATGTTAAAAGGGTTACATAATATTAGTGAAATTATTACCCACTATTAACTTTTCAAAAAGCTATGTCTGTATCGGGTTGGGATTTATTTGTACACAGTGGTGGCAGTTTGTAGCACTGTAGTGCACACAACGTATTATATACTCTCAATACATGCATAGCACATATGCTCAGAAGAGTTTATAGTCTAAAAATACCAACAAGATTCAAATGGTGGAGACGAATGAAACTTTAGAAATCAACATATAACATTGTTAAAAGTGTGTAAATGTTGGCTTATCCCAATGGTATCCCATCATCCTGATGATGTGAATTGACTTATTTTGTGTGGGCGCTATGACAAAAGTGGGCCTTGAGGAAAGATCTGAAGGACAGGATGGAGGTCTCTCAGCACAGAGAATTCTATATAGAAGGTGTGGCAGAGAATAAAGCAAAGCATGGCTGAAAGAAATGCAGACAAATGAGATACAAAGTTTGCCATCATCAGAGTGGAGTTAAAACAAACTGCAAATAGTTTCAGCTGAGGCCTGTAAGAACTTCATTTCTATAGGGGGTCTTTCTGCTCCTACATATTCCCACTTGAAGTCCTTATCCTTAGTTAGTGATGACAGACTGCACTGCTCTTCACTCAAGCTATCTGATTTGTCACAAACAGTATATTATTTCAGGTAGGAAATCTGCAGCAGGAACAGAAAATCTCAGATGGAAAAAAAATCCTTTTATCTTACAAGTGCATTTAGTAATAAAGCTGAGAGGAAATGAAAGTTTCCTGCATAGTTTTTCTGATTTTATGTCTAGATAGAATTTCTTCCAGAAAAAATTAGTGTATTTTTAATTAACTTGTTTAGGGTTTTTTTTAAGTATGTTGGTGGATGCAATTTATGCCTGCAAAATGAATTGCTTGTGCCTCTGGCTTATTTGTGCTCTGTCAGGTAATGAGGAGCAACAATCACAGTCCAATTTGTTTCCATGATTCATTTAGTATCTCAAATATGTGGATACAAATTGCACCTATAAAGGAACACTCTATTCTATTGCTTATACTATTTTAACTCTTTTTTTCCCCACAAATTACCAATTATTACTGATTTAATTAAATTTGACTATAGTAATTTTCTGAATTGATCATCTGTTTAATTGCAGATGAGATCTGCTACCAGATCATCTTATCGTTATAAATAAAATATTTTAAGCTCTGTACTGTTCTCCTTTTCTTTCCTCTTTTGTTTCCTCTGCCTGTGCAAAGTGCATGCATTGAAAGCTGGCTTGTTTTGTCTGATTTGGCATTTGAGCAGAGGTTCTTGCTTCCCATTCTCCGTACTTGGCCTCTGGACATTGTCACTCTTGGAGTTCAGGATAATGAATCCCTCTTAGTCTGCAGTCAGTCTGATACCATTGTTTTCTCCTGGTAGAATTTTCTGTGAATTGTTGTTAAAAAGATGTGCCACCTATTTCTTTGGGGATTTATATAATCATGTTGACCAGTCACTTTCTGACACATCCTTCCTGGTTAGTATAAATTAGAAGAAAAACAGAACACCCATCCCAAACTCATGCCAGCCTAGTAAGGACAACCTGTCATTTGAGGATGCTGCTGTTTCCACTTTTAATCCCTTGCCTCTCTGTTCACTGTTCTTGTTCTCTCCACACGGTGGAAAAACTCAGCAAAGGGTCACAGAATGATTTGTTTTCCTTTTGCAGAAGTTGTCATTCCCTTTGTGGCCCCTCTGGTGTTAGGGAAGACAGAAATCCTGTATTTGATACTGACTCCGTGTCTTCTGATTTGTAGCAAATTGTGCTGCCAGCTGAAGTGTTAATACAGCTGTAGCTTTCATGTATAGTTGAGTGTGTTTTTCCCATAATTAGCTTAATGGAGGATACCATTTTAGAAGTCTCATTTAGCATCCTCTGCAGAGTAAGAAAATCCCTTCCAGTTTGTCATGGAATTATTGCAGTTGCTATGGTTAAATAGTGACAGGGCCTGCCTTTTGTATGGCATGCGTTTCACAGACCTTTTTTTTTGCTTCCCTGTAGGTCCTGTGTCCTCACAACATCATCATTGTTGCTGGGAGGAAGAAAGTAGGAACTGATGATTCTATGTATTTGTTTCTTAGCAGATTTGAGATCATAAACTTTCAAAGCGGGAAGGAGGAGAATCTTGAAGGCTTGTTGAGCAAGGGAAATGATGTGTTCAATCTGGAGATTGAGGCAGATGCAGACGTGCTTATGCTGGGCTTTTCATTTAAAGGTAAGGTGACATATTTTATTAATTGGGGAAATCCCAGGACATTAGGCAGATCTTGAATGAGCTTCCTTTGGATAAAAGGAGCTTTCGTTACTTTGTATAGAATTAATATGTCACACTTTAAACCAGTATGATCAAGCATTAAAATGTTGGCTTCTCCTTATAGAACAAGGCAACAGAGATTATATAAGATTTTGAAATGGAGATTTTTCTAGAAGCCCCTTTTGCTGTACCCTGGGAAATCCTGCCTTAAGAAAAATTTACCTGGGTTATAAATTGTTTAACTGTCATTCCAAATATCCTCATTCAAACAAAGTATGACAAATCTCCCTCTTGTAAGTAATTTTAAATCATAAAAGTTACTGACTGAACATATGCTTTACTGATCTAGCAAAGGTCATAATCTGACATGGAGTATAAATGTGGACCTGGATTTTATACATGTATCAGGACTTCACTTGTTTAATTATCGCATAGCTGCAAGACTTTATTAGTGTTCTTACAAATCATTCATGAAGTTTGTTGTACTTGATGCTGCACATAGAAGACTGGAACATCTGGTCCGTCTTCCAAAAAACTGACTTGCCTTGTAAATCAATAAATAAAATCAGCCCAGAATCATAATGTGGCGTACACTGGATGATTACTTGATAGATTGATTTCCAATGAGCAACAATGGTATCTAGAAGATTCTTCTGCTGGTGAGTTAAACAAGGGTGCCATTTATGGGAAACAAGGGGAGCATTTGCCCCTTCAGGTTGGAATCCCAGATTTTTATACATGGGGTTTGCTTAAAGCTGCATGCCCTGATACCAGAGGCAGCTCTTAAATGCAACAGAGTTTGATCTGCTTACAGCTTTGCCTTTGGGGCAGGGAGTTTGTTATAAAAAGAGGGAGGGGTGAGGTGGTTAAGAATAATAAAGGTTGGGCATTCAAGCTATTGAAGATCTTCACTGAAAACATTGCTGGGTACTCCATTTAAAAGTGTCCATTTCAAATGTTCTTGAAAAAGGGGCATGAGCGGTTGGTGAAGATAGAGCTGGGGAAGGCATGCCCCCAGCCCCACTGCCATCCCTACCCCTTCTGCTGAGGCCTCGTCCCTTCCTTGCCCCCCTGTGGGGAGGCAGGGTGGCATGCTATGCACGTGCCATCCCCCCAACCACAGAGAGGTGAGGTGCTCACCCCGGCACCAGGGAGGGAGGAGGGCGTGCAGTGTGGCCCCAACCCCAGAGCACGGGAAGAGCAGGCACTGGAGGCAGCAACTACTCTGTTCCCAGAATGCCCACAGCAGACGTTCTTGCGGGCAGAGAGTGGGCAGGGACATGCACCCATGAAAACGGGTGAACAGGCAATTATCCAAAGCTGACTGCAAAGAGCTACAAAGGGATTTCACAAAACTGGGTGACTGGGCAAGACAAAGGCAAATGGAATTCAGCATGGATAAGTGCAAAGTAATGCACATGGAACAATATAATCCTAACTATACATACAAAAAAAATCTTAAAAAACAATGAGTGGTCCTGCTGGACCTTAGAGACTAACAAAAAATATAGGTAGCATCATGAGCTTTCGTGGGCACAACCCACTTCTTCAGACGGTTTGAGCCAGGGGCCCAGAGGTACAAATAAACAGCAGAAAAAGAGGGGATGGGTAGGTATAGAGAAAGGAAAAAAATCTTGTCAACTAGAGTGTCCATGCTAAACGAGGCTAATAAAGTGGGCTGTAAGTGTGTAATACTTAGCTTTTGCTGTAATTAGGGTGTTGAATGTAGCAGCTCATCAGTTCGTGTCTCAGTTGAGACCTTGAGTAAAAATATCAAATTTGCAAATAAAGGCAAGTTCCACAGCTTCTCTCTCCAGCTGTTTTTTGAAATTTCTTTGTAAGAGTATAGTCGCTTTTGGATCCATTAATGAGTGCAGGGCAAGTTAAAATGTTCCCCCACAGGTTTCTGTGTGTTATAATTTTGAATATCTGATTTGTGTCCATTAATTCTTTGTCATAGAGACTGGCCAGAACTCTGCCAGGAGATGGGGGGAAAGGCCCAAACCATAACAGGGTTCCAATAAGAACAAAATAAGTTCAAGGAGGATAAGTCCATCAGTGGCTACTAGCCAGAATGGGCAGGGTTTGTGTCCCTAGCTTCTGTTTTCCAGAACCTGGGCATGGGTGACAGAGGATGAATCATGATGATTGCCTCTTCTGTTTATTCCATCTGAAGAACCTGGCATTGGCCACTATTAGAAGTTGCTATACAAGGCTAGAAGGACCTTTGGTCTGACTCAATATGACCATTCTGATGTTCTTATATAGAACTGAAATGTATCTGCCCCCTTGCTGTAACCCTCTAGCCTCCACTACCCTTCCGGAGCTGAGATAGAGCCCAGGAGTCCTTATGGGGTGTGCGTCTCTCCACAGAGTTAGCAACAAAGTAAGAATATATTTCAGTATTGTCTAACCAGTGTCCCTTAAGCGACTTGCCACAAGATGTCAGACTATGTCAGTGTTAGAGCTGAGTGGGTCTAATGTTTATTTAAATTTCTTTCTTTAATATAGGAATTAGATACAGTGCTCCTGTCAGCTAACTGCTAAGTTATCTACCAAAAAAAAGGTAGAGTTTTCCAGTGCCTTGGTGTAGCCATGGAATAGAGATGATGTGTATGGGAGGACAGAAGGGGGGATGGGTATTGGCAGTTGGTGAAGGTAGGACTGGGGACCCTGCCCCTTCCGCTGAGACCAACCAGAGGGAAGGGAGAGGATGGGTACATGCTCACCCCAGCCTCCCCAGTGCACCAGAGAGGGAGGAGAACATGCAGCACAACCCCAACCCTAGAACACTAGGGGAGGTAGGAGGGCACATAGTGCGGCCCCAGCCATTCCAGCCTTGGTGCACAGGAGGAGGGAAGAGGTCACATGGCATGGCCCCAGCCCAAGGGCACAGGGTGGACGGGGGCTGGGTGCAACAACACTCCATCCCCAGAATGCCTACAGTAGGTGTTCTGGGGGTAGATTGTGGGTGGGACCCTGCCTGGTGGTTTGGGAAGGCAAAGCCTTCCCCCGCCTAGGCTACTGGTGGCCATGTGGATGGGGTTGGTTCCCATTCTCCCCATTTGGTGCTTGGCTTGTACTGAGCATGCTTGGTAACACTGCTAAAGCCTCTGTCCTCAGTCTATCCCTCCATACTCTCACTCTCTCCCTCCCACCCAGCCCCAACACAGCATGCTCAGGCTGGACCCCTCCCTACCAAAATCTGAAATGGCACTTCCTGGGCTTAAAGGGCTGAAAACCAAACCCTTCTTTCCTTAGAGAGATTATCAGTGTAGAAAAAGGTAGGGGGGTGTTTTAGGCAAGATTTCAATAAAGAAACTTGACTGTTTGAAATGCAAATTGGGACATGGAATGTCCGGCACAAATGGCCACATGTGAAGATGATTACCACCATTCAGAAGGAGGTTGCTTAAGAGGGAAACATGGGCGGAGCAGAGGTAGTAGGTGACAACAAGCCTGTAAGAAGACTAAGTGTGGCTGGGGCAGAGCTTTGACTTTAGAAAGGGGAGACAAAGCCTGAGGAATATCTGGCCAGAGCCTTGAAATTATTTTGGCAATAAAATCCTACTTTGGGCTGAAATTCAGTATAGAGGGGCTGAAGTCAGATCAGAATTCATTTTTCCTCTCTCAAACCAGCTTTTTAAAGATGGAAATCCTTCCAGCTATTTTAAGAGCATCCTGCCCCCTTCAAATCTTGACTCTCAATGTTTCTTGTATTTTAATTTAGGACAGATTTCTCCCTTGTCTTCTGAGATTACACTAGTGGGAAGGGTACAAAGAAAGATTTTACCCAAGCCCTTCCATGCTGAAGCCCAGAGCCGTCCTTAGGCATAGGCAGAATAGGCAGTTGCCTAGGGCACCACTCTTTCTGGGGCACCACTCTGCCGGGATAGACGGAAAGCATAGGCGTGTGCTCTGCACTGGAGCTGGTAGGGGCACTGCCGGCACTTACGGCCCCGCCAGAAGACCCCTCCGGACCGAAGGACTCCGGCGAGGAGGCCGGCAAGCTGACCCTGGCTGGGGAAGGTACCAGGCTGGGAGAAGTGAAAGCAGGCATAGCCGCGAGAGGCACGAGCATGCATCGTCAACCCGGGAAGCAGCGGACAAGCGGAGCCGGGGCTCTGCTGGGGGTGCGGTCACGCGCGGCGCACCAGAGGGGGCGATGCCATTTTTAAAAACACCCAGCCGCGGATCAGGAAAGGAGGAGGAAGGAGACGTGCCGAGCGGGGCTTGGGGGAACAGGGCCTGGCTAGAGGTGGGACGGCAGCTGGGCCGGGGCTGCGAACACCGAGCAGCCCAGCTCCAGGTCTGGCACGTGGTCTGGAACCTGGGCTGCAGGGGCTTCTGGGGCCCGATCACAGCAGACTCCAGCCCTGCAAACTGGAAGGCAGAAGTGAGGGGAGGGAAGGGGTGTAGGAACAATAGGGGGAAAGGGTGGGAGAGGAAGGGGCTTGTGCTGATGGGAGGGGGAGCAAGTCAGGAGAAGAAAGGGGCAGGTGCGAAGGGACAGGGTAGAGGAGAGACAAATGCTGGGGGCGGAGGGGTGGCAAGTGGAGACAATGAGGAAAAGAGCAGGAGGGGAGGGGTCAGTGGGAGAGGGGAAAGGGTGATGCTGGGAGAGGTGGCTAGAGGTGGGACGGCAGCTGGGCCGGGGCTGCGAACACCGAGCAGCCCAGCTCCAGGTCTGGCACGTGGTCTGGAACCTGGGCTGCAGGGGCTTCTGGGGCCCGATCACAGCAGACTCCAGCCCTGCAAACTGGAAGGCAGAAGTGAGGGGAGGGAAGGGGTGTAGGAACAATAGGGGGAAAGGGTGGGAGAGGAAGGGGCTTGTGCTGATGGGAGGGGGAGCAAGTCAGGAGAAGAAAGGGGCAGGTGCGAAGGGACAGGGTAGAGGAGAGACAAATGCTGGGGGCGGAGGGGTGGCAAGTGGAGACAATGAGGAAAAGAGCAGGAGGGGA